AGCTTTTCCTTGACGCACTCTATTATAAAAGGAAAGAAAGAAAAAGGAATGGTCACAAGAGGAAAAATGAGAAAAAAATGATTGACGCTTCGGGAGAAGTAGAAAACAAACTCCTCATAACTAACCTTGGAAAAATCAAACAGATCGACATAGTTATGATAAAGGTCTTCCGATGTCTGTGGGAAACAGTTTGCACATGATGGTCGAACTCTGCAGATATTACGAAACGAAAAGTCCACTGCAGGAGATATCAGCGGGTGAACAGGAAGATGCTTATATGGAGCTGATGGAACACGCTAAAACAGTCTTTTTATCACTTCAGAGTGTTATTCCACAATCGACTAATATTTTCTCTTTGTTCTTCAAAGCATCTTTTTTCTAAGAACATGGTGGTATGACCTGCCCATTGACTGAATGCAGCATGAATCCCCAGGCTATGTAACAAAGAGATTCGGCGCAAGCTGCGTTCATAGTTTGCGACTCGGCACTTTGAAATAGTCGACATATCAGGAGAATCAACGTTTCGAGCATTTTGGAAGAATCGGCGTTTTGAGGCTCGAAATGCCAATTCTCACAGACCATCAAAACAGCAATTCTACCCAGTCGATACCGAAGCTATTTTTTCCACTCAAAACCCTGCTCCGCTCAAAACGCCGAATCGCAAAATATGAACGCAGCCTCGAGGAAGGGCACAACATATCCAGGTAAAAATACTAAGAAGGGGAAGTGAATAGAGTAAGAAAAAGGGGAACAGCCCGAAAGAGGGAAGATCGAGGGGGAAGGAAGTATTTGGTAAAGTTCAACTTGTAACACGTATACGGGCGCTAACGTAGTAGGTGGGAGTGCGAGGCGACTTAAACCGTCCGCCTTTTTTAGCTGTAAGGCTGTCTTCATACTTTGCGTCAGCGTACGCCACGGCACGACAGCGTTTTTAGTGTACACCCGCGTTTTCGCGGGAATTTGTTTTGAGCTAAACTTTCCGCGAAAACGCTGCTGTACGCTGGCGTCCGTTATATCGATATCTATACTTTCCTAGTTGGTGACGTACGCTGTTGCACACTCATTGGATTCCTATACTTTCTCAGCCACTGGCGTACGCCCGAAACGCTGCCGTGCGCTGACGCAAAATGTGAACGCAGCCTTAGCCTGATTCATCACCTCGGTGAGGGGCAGAGCGTAGACGACCAGTCACCGTGGTCGTTCTACTTTGTAGGAATGGCCCCTCGAACAAACTTACCCCTGTCCTGTGTACAGTTACAGCGTAGGCTACTTGTGGTAATGGAATACCAACAAAGTGAAAACATTTATGGGTGACTCAGTTATTATGTACCGCTATTACGGTTCATATGGTGAAACCAAGTTCCTATTTTATTTAAAAGAAAGCAAAATTTTTGTAGCATGATGATGGAGAGAGCTGCAGACCAACATCCGCCAAAGTGCACAACTTGCTAGGCTTTTCAGGGAATCGCCTAGATGTTTTCGCCTCGTGAGGACCACTACACGTAAATGGAGATCAATCAAAAATTATAGAAACCAAGAACTTTGAGGATAATTACCTTTTCTCCAACAAAACCAGTTAACAAACTAGACATTATGGAATGACCTTTCCACAGCAGCAGCTACCACATGGTCGTAACAATCCAGCTCCACCTGCCAATTGGGAAAACAGTTAAGCAAAAGGTTAAGGAACTCAAATCAGAACAAAGAAACTTTTATAAATGCAAAAGTTATCATTTCACCACGAAGTCCGCCCTTTGGCTCGTGTCTTGTCCGCGAATACACCGAACACTTTGAGAAGCACGGATCATCCCCCCTAAGTGCAATCGACGTTTCCATGTCGTTCCATGGGGTTTCCCAGTAGTGAGAACTTTTGCATTTATAAAAGTTTCTTTGTTCTGATTTGAGTTCCTTAACCTTTTGCTTAACTGTTTTCCCAATTGGCAGGTGGAGCTGGATTGTTACGACCATGTGGTAGCTGCTGCTGTGGAAAGGTCATTCCATAATGTCTAGTTTGTTAACTGGTTTTGTTGG